ACTAACTTGTCAGTTGTGCCATTGAACTGACTATTTTATTTTAGACTTTCAGTCCTGATGGTCGTTGGCTAATAACTTCATCAATGGACTGTACCATTAAGACTTGGGACCTTCCTTCTGGATGGTGAGTCAGTTTAAAAACATATAGCAAAAATTTATTGTCATCCTCTTTCTGTCTATTAAGTGGCAAAAAGCCTTCTGGCTTGATTATCTGTCACCAACCTGTACTATGTGATACTTGAAGTTGTACATGGTGTAACAACTCAGTACCCAGCATTTTAGTTGTGTGCAATGCTAGCAATATGTGCCTTTTTCTGAGTATACAGAATAACAATGTCCTGAAGATGTAGTGATGAAACCTGGAGTTTTCATGTGGTGTGAATGAGTGTGAATCTGTTCTTTGTCTGGAAGCAGCACTATATTCTAAATGGCAAGAGATTTCTTATACCATGCTCATTGTAAAAAAATTTCTTCCTTATATCCAATCTAAACCTACCCCCTTTCAGTTCAAAACCATTGCCCCATGTCCTGTTACTACAAGCTCTGTTGAAAAGTGTGTCTCGGCCTTTTTTACAAACCCCCTTTAAGTATTGAAAGGCCACAAGAAGGTCTCCCCAGAGCTTTCTATTCTTCAGGTTGACAACCCCAACTCTCTCAGCCTTTCTTCATAGGAAACGTGTTCTAGCCCTGAGATAATTTTCTTGGACTTGCTCCAGCTTCATGTCTATCTTGTGCTGGGGGCCCCAGAGTTGGATGCAGTACTCCAGCTGGTTTTGTAAAGAAGAACCTGTTTTCACTTACATTCATTTTAGCAACACAGTAAGGCTTTACTTCAGTTATATTTTTCATTTGTGCGTGCTTGCCACTGCCAAAAATACTCTTTTATGATCCACTGTGAGTAGTCTTCTCTCAGAATGAAATCTGGCCAAGAAGTACACAAGTACACACAAGAAATTCCAGAGCCCAGAAGAAAAAGGCTGAAAAGTAACTGAGTGCTGCTAGTGCATTCTTTTAGCAGCACATTAAATAGTTTTTTAGTAGTTTAAAGTAGTGCTACAGAGTGTGCAGCTCTGGTCATACCTGGGACTGAATTTGGATTCATTTGAGTTCATTACATTTCTTGGTGTAGTTTGGTAAATAATTCTGTATACTCTAAAAGTTTTCATTTTACTATGAAAAGTGTGTTGAATCTCAACAAACAATGACTGATTCTTACGTGATGAACGACATTGGTCTAACATGGGACAAGATGGACAGTAAATGTCCTCTTTCAGGTATAAATGGGAGGGAAGTTGACACTCTGTTTGGACTTCCACTTTCTAACCCTCCTTTTCGCTTCCAAAAAGATATGCCTAGAAAAAATGGTGGCATTAATTACAAAACTTTGGAAGTGTTACTTGTATCTTTAATTTCTTTACTAACATAACACTTTGCAGTAAGAATCCATTCATACTGTTTTTTAAAAGTACTCTAACTGTAGTTCTTGTTTGTGTGTAACACATAGGTAAATATTTTATCTCTTCTCTCCAAGTAACTGAAGGAATTCTGGTCTAGCTGAAATCTAGGCAGGTACATGACAAACGCCATTTTTGAAAGGAATTAGATTAAATTGTTCTTCCAGAATTTAAGAGAAAGGTTTTCCCATAATTGTAGGCAGGGGGGTGTATTGAAAAGGAAGAACAGCTTTTAATAAAAAGCCAGATGTTTGACTGACTTCTACCATGGTACATTTGCTCATAAATAGGAGAACTGAATTATGAACTGTGCATTCTAAAGACTCAGCTTTGATATTGTCCTTATAAAAGGATGGAGCATGTGTTTTTAGATTACTAAGTCCTATGTTACAAAAAATACCATCTCACTTTAATAGGAGTCATACCATTTACTTAGGGAGCATCTGTTTTTGGGAATGCTGCTTAACTGTCTTTATATAATATGAGTATTCCTAGTGCATGTTTTGCATGTCGGG